CTTCCCATTGAAATACTAATAAGTTTATATTTGTTAAAATTGTTCTTCATTTTAATTATTGTATTGTTTTTAAGTGTTTTTTTTGCACTACAAATAAAATATGTGCAGTGTGCATAAGAATTCATTCATTTTTTTTTTCAAATTATAATCCAGTCCTCCAACAGTTTGGGGACCCCTGCCATAGACAGATATAATTTGTATAAATAAGTCCAGTCCCCTTTAAAAGACGTTCTAGTTGGTGTCTTCACAGGCCCGTAGCCAGGATTTCGATTGGGGGGGGGGCTGAGTCCGAGTGAAAGAGCAAACCTTTTGTATCGTTACCCCAATAGCCCCATACATATGGGATATATTGAGTAGGGTGATCAGATCATGATATGAATAAACATATTTAAATAATGCACCAGTAAGGCCTTCTTTGGAACCACCATGAGAATTTGGGGGGGTGGGGGCTGAAGCCCCTCAAGCCCCCCCCCCCCGGCTACATGCCTGTGTCTTCATGATCTAGCATTCTAGCTTAGTGCATAATTCTTTTTTCTTGCCTTCTGTATATGAGAACAACTCAGAGCTTGACCTTGACTTTTCTATTACAATGAATGCGATCTTAGACCCTCTGACCTTAAGCAAATTGACCGGTTATTATTAATTCAATGCCATTTGCTTCTCAGCAAGTGAATTGCAGTCAAAGGTGCTTCTCATTGGCTAGAACTTGTTGATCGCAACTAATGCATTCCTTTTCCCAATGAAAGCTTGCAAACATGTGAATCAGAGACCTGACTGCTACTCTTTTGTAGTCTTCAGAAAGGAACACTTAGTCGACGCCAATAAAACTTCATGAACTTCTGAGGAACCACTGCAGAGGGAACTTCTTCATTGCGCTTCTTTCATGTACTCAGCTTGTTCCATTCCTTGAAGTCTATGGGGGATCCTGCATTTCCCGTTTCTTTCTGCCTGCTTTTTTTCTCTTAAGCAGAGAAAGTCAGTGAAGGGGGAAAAGACAGACTATCTGTACAAATCTGTTTTGAGAAATTCTTGACAGTACCATCCAGGGAATGTTTCTCAGATATTATCTTTCTTGTGTAACTTTAAGTAAGAAATATAGAATAATCTGTCCTGGTATTTTTAGTTTCTATATGAAATGAAATGTTAGGTTCAGGTTGGAAGCATGGATTCTTTTCAGCATCAGAAATCAGTCCAAGAATGAGGGGGAAAGCCTTCTATTTTTACTGATATATGACAAAGCTAAGTAGGAAAGGTCTGCTCAATAAAGATGCACCTGTAGATGGGAAGAGAGATGAAGGAAGGACTTGAGGTCCATCTACACCAGGCATGGGCACACTTGAGCCCTCCAGATGTTTTGGACTTCAACTTCCACCATTCCTTACAGCCTCAGACTCCTTCCTTTTCCCCCTCAGCCGCTTAAGTGGCTGAGGGGGAAAAGGAAAGGGCCTGAGGCTGTTAGGAATGGTGGGAGTTGAAGTCCAAAACACCTGGAGGGCTCATGTTTGCCCATGCCCGATCTACACTGTAGAATTAATGCAATTCGACACCATTAAACTGCCATGGCTCAATTTTATGGAATGCTGGAATTTGTAGTTTGGTGAAGCAGAAGCATTCTTCAGTAAAGGTGGCTAACACTACTACTAGTAGTAATACTACAGCTCCTGTGATTCCAGAACATGGGTGTGTGGTTAAAGTAGTGTCAATGCATCATTTCCTCTAACATCAATTTACTTCTGACATGATAAATAAGTATACTTCAGGAATATGGATAGGATTGCAGAATTACATTTTAACCGTATTTTAGCAGCACAGTGTGCCTCCTTTATTTCTTTCTCTGTTACAAAGATTTTCAAAATGTTAGAGTGTACCATCCTCTTGATCCATTTACCTTGTGCCAAAAATGCACTCCCATAAAATATCTGCTTTCTCCTTCAAGGAAATCAATCCTGGTTCTGGAAGTTGGGGGAGGGTGGGTAAGCAAATGTGTGAAATAGGTGTCAAGGGTCACAAGAGTTTCCGTTTTCACTCTTTTAAAATGAGGGACTGTGAGAAAACAGAGCAGACACAATGGTAGTCCTATAGACCAGGCATGGGCAAACTTAGGCCCCACAGGTGTTCTGGATTCTAACTCCCACAATTCCTAACAGGCTGGCTGATAGGAATTGTGAGAGTGAAGTTCATAACAACCAGAGCCGAAATTTGCTCATTCCTGCTATAGACAGTGTGTGTCATCATTTATTGACAGGATTTCACTGAAAACAAGGAATAATACACATTAGGACGTCTTTCCCAGGGAATTTGGCAACTCATGGGATATACTAAAAATGTTGCAAAACTGCAACATAGAAAATAGGAGGAAAGAGTGAGAAAGAGGGAGCAAGGAAGAGGGAGGAAAGGAAGGAAAATCAGAAGAAAAGAGTGGGGCAGAGGGAAAGAAAGAGAGGGAGAGAGGAAGAGGGCGAAAAGAAAAAATAGAAGGAAAGAGTCAGACAGAGGGAAAGAAAGAGGAGAGGGAGAGAGATAGAGGGAGGGAGGAAGGAAAAATAGAAGGAAAGAGTGAGCAAGAAGTGAGAAAGAGGGAGGGAGAGAGGGAAGGCAGGAAAAATAGAAGGAAAGAGTGGGAAAGAGGGAAGGGAGGGAGAATGAGGGAAGGATGGAAGGAAAAACAGAAGGAAAGTGAGAAAGGGAAAGAAAGGGGAGGGAAAGTGAGAGAGAGAGGGAAGGATGGAAAAACAGAAGGAAAGAGGGAAAGAGAAAGAGGGGAGGGAGGGAGAGTGGAAAGGAAGGAGAAATAGAATGGGAAAGAAGGAGAGAAAGAGAGAGGAAGAGCAAGGAAAGGAAGGAAAAATAGAAAGAAAGTGGGAAAGAGGGAGTGGAGAGAGAAAGAAAGAGGAAGGGAATGAAAAACAGAAGGAAAGAAAGGAAAAATAGAAGAGTGGGAAAGAAGGAAAGAGAGAGAGAGGAAGAGGGAGGAAAGGAAGTAAAATAGTAGGAAATAGAGTAGAGGGAAAGACAGAGAGAAGAGGGAGAGAGAAAGAGAAGGAAGGAAGGAAGAAAAGGAGAAGAGTGAGAAGGAGGCAAAAAGAAAGAGGGGAGGGAGAAAGGGAGTGAAGGAAAAATAGAAGGAAAGTGAGAAATAGGATAAGAAAGAGGGAGAGAGGGAAGGAAAATAGAAGGAAAGAATGGAGTAGAGGGAAAGAAAGAGAGAAAGGGGGGAGGAAGGAAAGAAGGAAAAAGATAAGAGTGGGAAAGAGAGGAGAGAGAGAAGGAAAGCAACAAAGCAAGAGAAAGCGAGGGGAAAAGACAGAGAAAGGGAAGGAAAGACAGAGAAGAGGAGAAGAAAGAGAGAAGGGAGCAAAGTAAGTGAGAGGATCAGAAAGGAGGGAAGGAAGGAAAAAGAAGAGTGGGAAAGAAGGAGAGAGAGAGGGAGAGCAATAAAAGGAAGGAAAAATAGAAAGAAAGAATGGGAAAGAGGAAGGGGAGAGAGAAAGAGGAAGGGAATGAAAAACAGAAGGAAAGAAATAAAGACTGAAAGAAAGGAAGGAAAAATAGAAGAGTGGGAAAGAAGGAAAGAAAGAAAGAGAGGATGAGGGAGGAAAGGAAGTAAAATAGAAGGAAATAGTAGAGTAGAGGGAAAGACAGAGAGAGGAGAGGGAGGGAGAAATAGAAGGAAGAAAAGGAGAAGAGTGAGAAGGAGGCAAAAAGAAAGAGGGGAGGGAGAAAGGGAGTGAAGGAAAAATAGAAGGGAAGTGGGAAATAGGATAAGAAAGAGGGAGAGAGGAAGAGGGAATGAAAATAGAAGGAAAGAATGGAGTAGAGGAAAAGAAAAAGAGAGAAGAGGGAGAGAGAAAGACAAGGAAGGAAGAAAATGAGAAGAAAAGAGTGAGAAGGAGACAAAAAGAAAGAGGGGAGGGAGAAAGGGAGTGAAAGAAAAATAGAAGGAAAGTGGGAACTAGGATAAGAAAGAGGGAGAGAGGAAGAGGGAAGGAAGGAAAATAGAAGGAAAGAATGGAGTAGAAGGAAAGAGAGAGGAGAGGGAGAGAGAAAGAGAGGAGGGAGAAGGAAAGAAGGGGGGAAAGAGTGGGAAAGAGAGGAGAGAAAGAAGGAAAGCAACAAAGCTAGAGAAAGTGAGGGGAAAAGACAGAAAAAGACGAGAAAGGGAAGGAAAGACAGAGAAGAGAAGAAAGAGAGAAGGGAGCAAAGTGAGAGGATCAGAAAGGAGGGGATGGAAAAATAGAAAGAAAGAGTGGGAAAGAGGGAAGGGAGAGAGAAAGAAAGAAAAAGAGAATGAAAAACAGAAGGAAAGAAAGACTGAAAGAAAGGAAGTAAAAATAGAAGAGTGAGAAAGAAGGAAAGAGAGAGAGGAAGAGGAAGGAAAGGAAGTAAAAATAGAAGGAAATAGAGTCGAGGAAAAGACAGAGAGAGAAGGAGAGAGAAAGAGAAGGAAGGAAGAAAAGGAGAAGAGTGAGAAGGAGGCAAAAAAAGAGGGGAGGGAGAAAGGGAGTGAAGGAAAAATAGAAGGGAAGTGGGAAATAGGATAAGAAAGAGGGAGCGAGGAAGAGGGAAGGAAGGAAAAATAGAAGGAAAGAATAGAGTAGAGGGAAAGAAAGAGAGAGGAGAGGGAGAAAGAGAGGAGGGAGAAGGAAAGAAGGGGAAAAAAGAGTGGGAAAGAGAGGAGAGAAAGAAGGAAACAACAAAGCCAGAGAAAGCGAGGGGAAAAGACAGAGAAAAAGACGAGAGAGGGAAGGAAAGATAGAGAAGAGGAGAAGAAAGAGAGAAGGGAGCAAAGTGAGAGGATCAGAAAGGAGGGGAAGGAAGGAAGCTGCAACACCCGTGCCCTTGCTCGGGCCTGTGTTGGCGGCCGGAGAGAGCTGCCGGGCTTTCCCTGCCGCGTAGTTGCACTCAGCGAGAGGGTCCCTCCTCTTCCTCTCTCTCTCTCTCAATCTCTCTTTCCTCCTCCTCCTCTTCGTCCCTCCCCTGCTGTCCCTCCCTCTCTCCTTCCCTCCCTCCCTCCCGCGGTCATGTGTTGCCTTTTTTTTGTTGTTTGCAGTGGAAACAATTTGGCGGCGGCGTCCTTTGGCGGCGGCGCTGCTCGCTCGGGAGGGGTCTAGACGGAGGAAGGAAGGAGGGAAGGAAGGAGGAAGGGAAAGAAAGAGGGGCCAGGCTAGTAGTAGGGGGGAAAAGGGGGCCCCCAAGGCGGACCCGGAGCCCAGAGTGGGTCCCCATGCCCCTCCTCGCCCCCTTCCGGATACAGTGTTGCCGGCGCCAGGAAGCAGCGATGCCTCCTCGTCCCTTCCTCCGGGTGAAAAAGTTTGGCGTCATGGTCGCAAGGAAAGCGGACGCAGGAGCAGCAGCAGGAGCAGCCAGCAGGGAAATCTAGAGCCCTCCCCAGGCAGGTGAGTGAAGGAGGGAGTGAGTGGCGGAATGCAGGCTGCGTGGCGTTGGCCTGGGAAGCATTGCGTAAGATTCCCCTGCATTGGAAGAAGGAAGGGAAGGGGAAGGAAATAAAGAAAGGGAAAGAAGGAGGAAAGGAGGGAGGGGAGAAGGGGGGGGGGTCTGCAACTACGCCAGGCATGGGCCAACTCGGGCCCTCCAGGTGTTTGGGACTTCAACTCCCACCATTCCTAACAGCCTACTACAGCTCCCAGAAGCCCCCAGCCTGCGAATGCAGGCTGGGGGCGTCGGGAGCTGTAGTAGGCTGTTAGGAATGGTGGGAGTTGAAGTCCCAAACACCTGGAGGGCCCAATGCAAGATGGGAGCTTAGTAGACTCTAAGGAATGTCGTGAGGAAAGTCCCATGTAGGCTGGGGACTTCTGGAAGCTGTAGTAGGCTGTTAGGAATGGTGGGAGTTGAAGTCCAAAACACCTGGAGAGCCCAATGCAGGCTGTGGGCTTCTGGGAGCTGTAGTAGACTTTCAGGAATGGTGGGAACTGAAGTCCCAAACATTGGAGGGCCCAATGCAAGCTGGAGGCTTCTGAGAGCTGTAGTAGGCTCTTAGGAATGGTGGGAGTTGAAGTCCAAAACACCTGGAGGGCCCAATGTAAACTAGGAGCTTCTGGGAGCTGTAGAAGACTGATAGGAATGGTGGGAGTTGAAGTCCAAAACACTGGAGGACCCAATGCAGGCTGGGGCTTATGGGAGCTTTAGTATTGAAGTCCAAAACACCTGGAGGGCCCAGGGCCCAAGAGGCTTGGAGCTTCTGGGAGCTGTAGTAGACTCTAAGGAATGTTGTGAGGAAAGTCCAAAAGACTGACTGGGACCTTCTGGGAGCTGTAGTAGACTTTTAGGAATGGTGGGAGTTGAAGTCCAAAACACCTGGAGGGCCCAGTGCAAGCTGGGAGCTTCTGGGAGCTGTAGTGGGCTCTTAGGCATAGTGAGAGTTGAAGCCCCAAACATTGGAGGGCTCAATGCAAGCTGGGGGCTTCTGGGAGCTGTAGTAGGCTCTTAGGAATGGCGGGAGTTGAAGTCCAAAACACTTGGAGGGCCCAATGTAAACTGGGAGCTGTAGTAGACTCTTAGGAATGGTTGGAGTTGAAGTCCAAAACACTGGAGGGCCCAATGAGAGCTGGGAGCTGTAGTAGACTTTTAGGAATGGTGGAAGTTGAAGTCCAAAACACTGGAGGGCCCAATGCAGGCTGGGGGCTTATGGGACCTGTAGTAGGCTGTCAGGAATGGTGGGAGTTGAAGTCTAAAACACCTGGCAGAAGACCCAACATTGCCCATGCCTGATCTACACTGTAGCATGCAGTTTTCTGGCACAACTGGACTATATAATATATAATGCTGTTGTTGTTTTGTCTGCTTTGCTCAAACTCTGGCAGTTTGAAAGTTAGGAACTGATTGTGCCCAGAGGAGGAAAACTCCCATTTTCTTCAGTATTTCTGCAAAAAATACAAAGCCTTTCCCCCGCTATAACTAGATCCTTCAAGGGCGGTTTGTTTACCTGTTTGTTTGTTTTCCTTGTCGTATTTCCTGATAGAAAAGAATCAGCATAACATTGATTTTTTTTTTAACCCACTGGGTTATTATTAGACATAGGGAAGAAAAAGCCCTGTTGTTGGTTCCTGAAATACAATCTTCAGTCTTGTGGGGTTCGTTTCCCCTTTTTTCCGCCTTTTATTATGGCACGATTTAGGAGAAGAAAGGCCAAGGCGAGCTTTATGACATCTAATCAGCATTGAAGGTATGCTTGCTGCAAAGGGCCCTGTGTAGGAAGAAAGTGCAGTTTGCCAGTCTCCTAGCAACACGGGTGATGGATTGGACGCTGCACCAATCAGCAGGCTCCTTTCCCCCTTCAAATGTTTTTGACAAGTAGAGCAGGGAGTGTAGCAAAGTGCAGCGAGGAGGAAACTGTCCTTTCCCGGATTGCTCTTGTCTTCCCTACAAAATGACCATCTGCCTTATTTTCTCCTTCCTCCCGTCTTCGTTGGAGCCTGATCTGTAACGCTGTGTATGTATATTGTAGTTTCTCTGGAAAGCTTTAGTAAGTAGTCAGTCAGTCATTGGTTTCCTTCTCCTTCCCCTCCCATTTCCTGTGTGTTTTTTTGTCCTATCAGTTTGGGACGTGCAAGAAAAGGGTGCAGCCAGAAAGTTTGCATTCGTACTCACCCGGTCGTGGGCCTATCAGATGGAGCAGATCTTGGTTGCAAAATATTTGCCGAATTGTAGCACCCCATGAAGTTTTGCCAAGCAATTTGGCAAATATACTCTTCTCTGGAGCCCAGTTGTGTAAGGATCAGTTGTATTTCCCCAGCTGTTAAATCCGGGCCAGGGTTTCTGTACTGAGTAATGTAACTGTAATTTAAGATGCCGGATTGTTTTGCTGGCCGTTCCTCTTAAAGTGCTGGAAACATTGGCTGTCGTCAGTGCGTCGGATTGTGATGTGAGGTTCCTGGATTGTAAGGTTTTTCAGGGAAAGATGTGAGACTTTCATCTGTGTTTTGGATCCCTTTTCCTGCTTTTTAAAAGCATGGTGTTTCCAGAATTCTTGCATTTCTGTTTCCTGTGTTAGTAACATTATGATAAAATAAACTCAAAAATAAGACAGTTGTGGTTGAAATGTAATGGTATAGTAAACTCTCCACTATTTAAATAATGCATGGAAATTTTGTAAATGCCACATCAATGTAGTTTCTGGTTGCTTGAGAATTACTATTAAAAATAGGCCCAACAAATACTTTACCATCTCATACACTCTGTATTGATTTGATATTAGCATTGAAATACAGTCATTAAAATCAAACAATGACAAATAAAGACTAATAAAGATAAGCATTCTGAATATAACCCAATTTTACTGTATTATTATATAAACAGCTTTGAGAATAAAATATGCAATTTAAGTTTAAATTTGCTTGAGTTCCGCTTAACTGAGGCCCCTTTCACACAGCTGGATAAAATCAAGGCATATCAAGGCAGAAAATCCCACAATATCTGCTTTGAACTGGGTTATCTGAGTAAACACTCAGATATTGTGGGATTTTCTGCCTTGATATTCTGGGATATAAGGCTGTGTGGAAGGGCCCTTTGAGCTCATTCAGGGCCCTTCCACACAGCCCTATATCCCAGAATATCAAGGTAGAAAATCCCACAATATCTGCTTTGTACTGGGTTATCTGAGTCCACACTCAGATAATGTGGGTTTTTCTGCCTTGATATTCTGGGGTATAGGGCTGTGTGGAAGGATCCCAAGGCCCATTCCACGCAGCTGAATAAAATCCCACATTATCCACTTTGAATATATGGCAGTGTGGACTCAGATAACCCAGGGCCCTTCCACACAGCCACATAACCCAGAATATCAATGCAGAAAAACCCACAATATCTGCTTTGAACTGAAATATCTGAGTCCACACTGCCATATATCTCAGTTCAAAGCAGATAATTTGGGATTTTATTCAGCTGTGTGGAATGGGCTCCAGTTCAAAGCAGATAGTGTGGGATTTTCTGCCTTGATATTCTGGGTTATATGACTGTGTGGAAGTGCCCTAAGGGCCCTTCCACACAGCCATAAGTGGCATAATATCCCTAGAAATTGCAGGACATTGAGAATAGATCCCTAAAGTTGATCCCTTTGAGTTCAGTAGCATTTACCTTTGATCAGTATGTTTAGATAGTGTGCCTCTGGGTCCTTCCACACACCTACATAACCCACCCAGCCATATAACCCAGAATATCAAGGCAGAAAATCCCACACTATCTGCTTTGAACTGGGTTATCTGAGTCTATGCTGCCATAAATTCCAGTTCAAAAGCAGAAAAATGTGAGGTTTTATTCAGCTCTGTGGAAGGGGCCTATAAAAATCCATGCTTTAAAAAACCACAAATATGTTGAAGTTACTCCTGTGTTACTCTGAGGGCTGGATGGTAAACCTCCTTTGGCCAGCGCTGTTGAGTTGCAGTGTTGGAGCCACAGTATCCTCTTGTCCCTTTCAACAGTTTACCGTAAGCTTTCAAAGAAGAGTCACTAGTTTTTGTGTGAAAAATTGATGGTGTGATACAGTCCTTTGGGAGAACGCTGGCAAGTAAGCAAATTAAACTGAAAGAGAGCAGCATGTCGTCATAGCAACAGAGCAATTAAATTATGTTGTCAGCCATGATATAATTTTCCTATTTAAAAGCTCGCTCCTGGGACAGGAGTTCTGTTTGTACTGAACTCATTTGGCTGCAGTGCTCCCAATTGAAAGAGGAGTGGAAATAGCTGCAATGTTGTGGAAATATATATATGTATCATTCAGAGGACTCTTCTCTCCATGCAGCCAGAGCATCGGAGCTCCCCCTCCATCTCTTCCTTTTTAATAGTGCTCTCCATCGTGAACGCTTCCTGATGTAAATTCTCTTTACATTTTAATTATGGAATGCAATTTAAATATTCATACGGAGTTGAAAAAGCCACACGGAGCAGCCGGGATACAGTAGCTTCGCGGTGGTGTTTCCAAACCATTTTGTTTAAAACCAATGTGGGAGGCAGAGCTCTTTTTCTTCCAACGTAGGGACCCAAGGCAGCTTACAATGGGAATGTGGCTGACAGTAAAGATTTGCAGTTTCTAACCTTTGGTTTAACTTGGTTTTACAGCTTTCAGTATTTTTCCTTCTCGTGTTTACCACTGAAGTGAAACAACCGCACTGTATAATGGCTCTGCAGCAGAAATTTTGGATACTCAGTCACACTATTGTCCATTTTTATCCAGGTTGTATCCTATGGCTCATTCCCTTCCAGCAATGATCTCTTATGCAATTACAACTTTCCCTGGTTATTACTAAGTATCTCCTTGACAGTCTCAATCGAGTTTCTTAGGAAGTTTTGTGTTCAGTGTCCTGTATTTCTAAAAGTTAGAGAAGTTCTGCTGAAAACCTTTCCTCTCATTACTGGTATAAGTTTGCTTCCATGCTTTTTAAAAACAAGCTCCATTTTCCAGATACTTTTTTCTTGAAGCACACTCAAGCCTTCCTCTTCCGGAGGGATACATTTTTGTAGAATAGTATCCCACACTTCCTGTTAACCCTTTCCGTAACCTAGTCAGCATGGATGCAGTACATTGGCACCATTGTTAATATAATGCAAACTTTAAAGTTGTACAAAATTTATAATTGTGTACAGCTTATCTGTTCTTCAGTGAATGAAAGTGATCACTAGAGAAATACTGATTATTTTCTTGAAAAGTCTTTATCCTTTGGTAGAAGGCTGAACTGTTGTGAGCGAAGCTGTTGCTGAAGAGGAAAATAGTCTTAAAGTTGATATGGAATTGATTGGTTAATATCAAGAAGCTTAATGCTCACAATGGGAGTGTTGAGCAGATATGTATTGTGATACAGTGATGCTTTAATTCAGTGGTTCTCAGCCTTCCTAATGTTGCGACCCCTTAATACAGTTCCCCATGTTGTGGTGACCCCCAACCATAAAATTATTTTCATTGCTACTTAATAACTAATTTTGCTATTGTTATGAATTGTAATGTAAATATCTGATATGCAGGATGTATTTTCATTCACTGGACCAAATTTGGCAGAAATACCCAGTATTTTTTTTCGTGTCAGGAGTGATTTGAGAAACTGCAAGTCGCTTCTGGTTGGAGAGAATTGGCCATCTGCAAGGACGTTGCCCAGGGGATGCCCGGATTTTATTTTGATGTTTTACCATCCTTGTGGGAGGCTTCTCTCATGTCCCCCCATGGGGAGCCAGAGCTGACAGAGGGAGCTCATCTGAACTCTGTCCGGTCTTCAGTCCTGCCAGCACAATGGTTTAACCTATTATGCCCAAATTTGAATACTAGTAGGGTTGGGGGAGGGATTGATTTTGTCATTTGGGAGTTGTAGTTGCTGGGATTTATAGTTAACCTATAATCAAAGAGCACTCTGAACCCAGCTCACAATAGATCTGCACCAAACTTGCCACACTACTTACATGGCCAACATTGAATACTGGTGGAGTTGGGGGGGGGGCTGTTTTTGAATTCTTGGAGTTGTAGATCACCAACACCAAAAAGAAAGAGAAAAACAGGCGAAGAGATCTTCAACCTTCTCTGCCAAAAGGGTTCCTTAGATCTTCAGAAATATGTGTTTTTGGTGTTCTTTGGCGTCCGCTCTGAAACCCCCTTGTGATCCTCCCATGGGCCCCCACCCAGGTTGAGAAACACTGCTTTAATTGATGTTTTTGAAACAGTCCATGCAGCTACTTTTGTTCTGTGTGAGTTCAAGCCATTGTCTGTTATCTCTAATTTTCTGTTTTAAGATTTGAAAACATTATTTTGGAATAATTAAAATGTATTACGCCTTTAACTTTTTTGAAATGTAGTCTTCTTTGAGGCCCAATATAGCAACAAAAGTTTCTACTGCTTGGTATATGATGTCACTCTGCATGCTTTCTTCTAAGTCACGCTTATCACATTCATTGCTCGCTCTGTTCCCTGTTGAATGTTCATCACTAGTGTGGAATCTCTTTCTTTCTTTCTTTCTTTCTTTCTTTCTTTCTTTCTTTCTTTCTTTCTTTCGTGTTGTCCATCTGCAATTTTCTGTTTGAATCTCTAGATCCTCATTCTAAACCCACGATTCTCTCAGAGATTCTCTTGGAGGCTGCTGAGAATGATTGCTTAGTTGTATGTGTGTAAACATGGGGTTTTGCCTGCTTGCGCATTCAGCCAGAGCCGGAGAGGCTATAATTATAATGTGCCTGTGTTCATACTGGAAGTGAAACAGCTGAACTTAATCTGAAGCAACTGGTCTTAAGCTCTCAATTTTTGTGCTTGTTACAAGCTGTAAGAGTGACAAGGCCAGCAAAACTCCCCTCCAAACCTCTGCGTATGCTTGCTTAGACATTAAGTCTCACTGTTTTCACTAGCATGAGCCCTTCAGTTAAGCCTTAAGAAACACATGTAGAACATACATTTGCCTTATTTTCTCTTCACTTCATGTGCAGATTCTCCCCTCACATCAGGAATTTCATCAGCCTTATGCCATTGCTTGAAATCCTGTTCCTTTCCTATGGTCTCTCTCTATGTCTGGATAGATTATTATTGTTCTGCATTTTTTGTTGTTTTTTAATGTAAATTTTGTGAAAGGCCAGATTTGCAGACTGGGGAACTGCTATCAGAGAGACTTGTAATGCTGTCTGTGTCTTTACCCGCTAACATTCTTTTTAAACATTTGGATTTATTTTACCAGGAGCCTCAGTCTAAATGGGTCCAGTTATGCCTCCCAGTAAGAAACCAGAGGGCTCAGGAATTAGTGTTTCCAGCGGACTGAGCCAGTGTTACCGGGATGGAGACTTATCAAAGACGCTTCAGGATGATGAGGACTTAGACTTTGCTTTGCCTGCTCTCCGATCGGAAAAGGGTCCTATGGAGGATGAAGAACTAACCAATTTGAACTGGCTGCACGAAAGCAAGAACTTGCTGAAAAGTTTTGGTGACTCAGTCTTAAGGAGCGTTAGCCCAGTGCAGGACGTTGATGATGACACCCCTCCGTCTCCCGCTCATGCTGACATGCCCTATGATGCCAAGCAGAATCCCAACTGCAAACCACCCTATTCCTTTAGCTGCCTCATATTTATGGCCATTGAAGACTCTCCAACCAAACGGCTGCCTGTTAAGGATATATACAACTGGATTTTGGAACACTTCCCTTATTTTGCAAATGCCCCTACTGGATGGAAAAACTCTGTGAGGCATAATCTGTCATTGAATAAGTGTTTTAAGAAGGTGGACAAAGACAGAAGTCAGGTGAGACTGGAATAATGCGACTCCCCTTGTCTGTATAACCCATGCAACCTTTATTCTTTCCTTTCTTTCAAAATGAAACAAGCCGCCCTGTCTGTTTGCTCTCCCCATTCTCTCAGTTTTATTTCATTGCATTCACAAAGCAAGTATTTGCTCTCAGATGGTTCATTTTTGATGGCATTGAAATCTTTGTCTAGACAGCTTTAATACAGTGATCTTTTTGTAAATGTATGGGATAGGCGTTTAAATGCCAAATTGTATCTCCATGTACAGTACTGAATATGATTTTGTGGTTATTGTGCTCTGCTAATGGTTTCCAGAGATAGAAGATGGACTTAATCACATAGAGTGGGTTGTACAGGGGGCTTCACTTAGGCAATACATTGAAAAAAAATCCTCCTTAGATAGTTGGTTTGCAGCACAAGGTATTCGAGAAACATGGAGGCAGCTCTTGAAAACATGCCCAGCTTTTTATTTCTAATGTTACATTTATAGCCACCTGGAGACTTTGTCTTCAGTTTTCTGTTTGTTGCTTTGTATTTATTGCATTGGACTTTTTTTGTTCTCACCTGCAAGGGGCTCTTTGGGTCCACACTTTCTTCAATCTACAGCATAGCTGCATTTCTTCACCTCCTTTTCCATCCACTCTCCGTCTCGTGGCATCTGGAAGAAAAGTCTGAGATGGAGAATAGGTGCTTGGATTGCACTTTTTCATGTTGGTATTAGGGCACATACTTCAGTTGAGATGAGGTGAAAGTCTAGTGCCCGCAAAAAAAAATGCATTTAAAGTACTTAGCTGTTTTATCTACCCCTTGAAGTAATAATATATTTATACCCTCAAGGAGCTCAGAATGTTTTTCATATGGGTTTGCTATTCTAGTATTGCTTGAGATGCAGAACCTTTTAGTCTTATGCTGGAAACTCCTTTGTATAAAGATTTACAATTAGTTCACCTAACTTGGTAGTTTCTACTTCTAGAGTAGCAACTGCTTTCTAGTTTAAGGGTGACAAATACAACCTGGTCCTTTTATCTAGAGATGCCAAAAATTGAAAGTAGGACTTTCTACTTGCAAACATGTGCACTACCACTGAGGTCTATAATTCTTCCCCATAGCTTTAGCTATTGATTCATATCAGATGACTTCAGCTCTTTCTTCTGACTATTTCTATGACCTGGTGTCTCTCTGTGGTTTCTCCCAAGAGAGTCACATGATTTCAGAAACAATGGCTGGCATGCTTTTGGGAAGTTACATAATTGTAAACCGTTGTCCAAAGACATAAAGTTGAATCTTGTCATTGCACAGTGTTCAGTTTCTAAGGATGGGAGTCATCAAGATCATTGTGCAAACAGAGCCAATAGTGTAAGTGTTGTACAATCTGTCTTGTTGCACAATGGGAGCCCCTGTTGTGCAGGGACATCTTACCTGGTACTCTGTTGTGGATAATTTAAATGTACTGCTATCATGCCAGTCTCATAGCTCTGTCCTTGTAAAGCTACATATGATAACCTCTGATGAATATTTTGGTGAATGTTTTCATTTACATAGACTTTTTATTGGTATAATTTATGAAGGTGGGGTTGGAGTAAATTGTTTTGTAGAATTGTAGTTAATATATGCAACTTTCTTGTAGATATGTCCCAATACCTAGAAAAACTCTGCATACTAAACACTCAACACCTGGAAGAACTGTTAATGGTGGGGATTTGAATGCAGACTTTTGGCAAAATGATGCCATAACCTTTTGGAAAATGTTAATCTCCATAACCATTTGGGAAATGGGATTCATAACCTTTTTGGAAAACCACTGATCAAAAGAAAGGTGTGACCTTGTTAGAAGTCACAACCTTTTGAAAAGTGATGTTCACAGGCATTCATGCAAGTCAGCTTGGTCTCTCAGCTGTTAAAGTGATGTATCTAGATATGTCTTTGAACTGCCAGGGACAAAGACGTGCCAATGCACAAAAACATATATTCAGCAGAGTCTCAGAAGTGTTCTTTGAAGTTGCCCAAAAACATCTCCTATCTCTTAAAATATATTTGCCTTTAAATCATGCTCTCAAGAGACAAAATAGTCTTTTTTTTAAGTGACAAAGTTGGTTTACTCACAAAACTTCATGTATAAAGCATACAGTCACTTTACTTATTAATCCAGTTGCAATAGGATTTTAAGTAGTTTCTCTGTGTAGGTAACACAGGGCATCTTCTTTAGAAACAATAGTCCATAGTCCAAAAGAGTCTTTAAGCATACATCTTGCTGAAGTCTAAACTTTATAACTATACTCACTGCTTCTGATGTAAACACACACTTCTCTACATGGCTTCTCAAAGCAAACACTCTTCTGAAAATGAAGTCTTAGTCCTGAACTTGTCCAGTCTTGATCACATGGTCTGCAGCCCCTCCCACAACAAAGAGTTTAGGTAAAATTGCAAACCAATACACACATAGAATACAGTAAGCAATTATATATATAATAAACAACTAGCGGAAGGTTGCTATTTCCAACACAGACATGCTAAAGCATGCACATTCATGTCATTGCCATTTATAAATATGGTACATGATCATCTATGAAGTTCCGTACCATTTATAAATATGGTACATGATCATCTATGAAGTTCCCAGAACCAAATCCCATGGATAAGGCAGGCTCACCGTCCTTGTATCTAAGGTAGCTAAAAGCACTTGTCATATAATAAACCGCAGTCCTTGTTTTTATTTGGCTAGGTTCATGTTTACACTTCCTGTTTCTCCAAAAAGGTAGAAATTGGAAATGCCATGTTATGTGTTTGGGCGTGTTTACAAAAGAGAGAGAGGGGGAGAGAGAAGCAGATGACATTCTGGCAAATAATTCTGCAGGCCTGACACGAGAGACTGTGCTGTGTCTGCTCTGGCTTTCAGGATGCTGGATTGTGTCAGGGAATGAAGGCACTTTTTATTTATTTATTTATTTATTTATTTACTTTGCTTATATACCGCTGTTCTCAGCCCAGGGGTGACTCACAGCGGTGTACAACATAGGAACAACAAAATTCAAAACATAGTTAAAAACAATTCTAGCCCCAGAGTGGCCGTTGGTGTTGGGGGAGGGGTGCTGATGTCACAGGGGACAAGATGGCAATGTCCTCCCTGGCTCCCCTTCTTTATTCTGGCCCCAGAGTGGCCGTTGGTGTTGGGGGAGGGGCGCTGATGTCACAGGGGACAAGATGGCAATGTCCTCCCGGCTCCCCTTCTTTATTCTGGCCCCAGAGTGGCCGTTGGTGTTGGGGGAGGGGCGCTGATGTCACAGGGGACAAGATGGCAATGTCCTCCCGGCTCCCCTTCTTTATTCTGGCCCCAGAGTGGCCGTTGGTGTTGGGGGAGGGGCGCTGATGTCACAGGGGACAAGATGGCAATGTCCTCCCGGCTCCCCTTCTTTATTCTGGCCCCAGAGTGGCCGTTGGTGATGGGGGAGGGGCGCTGATGTCACAGGGGACAAGATGGCAATGTCCTCCCGGCTCCCCTTCTTTATTCTGGCCCCAGAGTGGCCGTTGGTGTTGGGGGAGGGGCGCTGATGTCACAGGGGACAAGATGGCAATGTCCTCCCGGCTCCCCTTCTTTATTCTGGCCCCAGAGTGGCCGTTGGTGTTGGGGGAGGGGCGCTGATGTCACAGGGGACAAGAACTTTTTAGCAACACTGCAAGCTGGGTTTCCTTGTGGTATTTTCTTTAGTTTATTTTTCACCCTGTTTTAGGTATGACTCTCGTTCGCATAGTATTCAGTATAACCATAAAAATGCTTTTAGCTTAAGGTGGAAGAGTTTTATATAAAAGTAGTAGTTTGAACAGTGTCATGTATGCTCTTGCTAAGGAAGAGTGATTTTGTATTGCAATGTTTTTTCTTCTGTTCCTTCATCCATTTGCACCATGCAGTCTTCTTTCTTTAGTAAGCTTGAATAAAAATTCCACCTAAAAGTGGCTGCTGAAGGTTTTTAGGATGCTGCAACATCAGGTAGAGTGGGATGAATTGATTTTTAAATTGTGGGAAAAAATCAGGTTGCACATTGGCAATGTTCTTACTTCTGCTATTGCTTTGAAAATATGTATAGCAGTTATTGCTATAATAGTTGCAAGATGGTGATTAAATTGTGGTTGTATACTTCAAGTCATGGTGACTATAAAATAAACCTATAACAGGGTTTTTTTGGCAGAATTTTTCTCAGATGGGGTTTGGTCTTACCTTTCTGTATATTTGTTTGTGTATTCCTGGATGGTAGGGTATTAACTTGAATGGCCATTGTGGTCACTTCCAGCTCTGCATCTATGATTCAGTTCCATGGAGGCTGAGAGACTGTGGCTTGCCCAAGATTACCTTGGGAGTAACACAGATTTCTAAATGGAGGTCGCAGTATAGCATTCTTGCAGTACACAATGTGATAAAGCTTTAGCCAAGAAAGAGTGGGATTATATTCTATCTAATTCTATCATATTTCTGTGGGCCGGTTTATAAGATAAGCAGCAACCAAATCCAAAATTCCTTACTGGACATGTATAAACAACAAAACATACCACCATTATGTTTTTTAAAAAGCTCAAATCGACAAGTCTGACCACCAAATTGGAAATGATAAGTAGAGAAAAGTGAAGGCTATTTATTTATTTATCGTGTCATCAGCAACCATTGTATTACAATTCTAACAGAGCAAAACAAACACACAGATTAAGAAGAAAAAGGAAAAAAAACACACAGATTTTGCAAATTTGGTATTTGGTTAAATGTCCTTTGACCAGTATCTGGCCACTTGGAGTGCCTCTGGTGTTGCCGCAAGAAGGTCCTCCATTGTGCATGTGGCAGGGCTCAGGGTGCATTGCAGCAGGTGGTCAGTGGTTTGCTCTTCTCCGCACTCGCATGCCGAGGATTCCACCCTGTAGCCCCATTTCTTAAGATTGGCTCTGCATCTCGTGGTGCCAGAGCGCAGTCTGTTCAGTGCCTTCCAAGTCGCCCAGTCTTCTGAGTGCCCAGGG